ATAACACCATAGAGATACCTGAGCAAACAGAGCTCCAGGAACCACCTGTACTAGCACAGAGCTCACCTCAGACTGATTTATTTTTCTGGACTTGTTTCGAGCTGACTCAGATACCTGTGAGATGTGAGGAGGCAATTCTCAGGGCCGCAGTTACCCACAGCACATGCTTTACTTAACCACAAGGTGACTTCCAGGCATCAGTCACTCCTTTGGAAAGTAGAGTGCCCCAAGTGGCTGACTTGATTCTTCCTTAGGTAGAGGGTAAGATGTTGCTTTTCTTCAAACATTGTATTCTTTCAAACATTTGTTCCTTCTTTCTGTGAGGTTTTGGATATTTGTGCTGTCAGCACTTGTTCATGGGTATGCCGGTCCTTATAGCATCACACTGAAATGGACACGTCTTCCCCCCCGTAAGATGAAGTAGTTGCTTCTTCTTGGATGGTCAGAATTGCCCAAGATAACAGTGATTGTATTGCTGATCTACTTCAGGATGACAGAGCATAAATCTGCTTGAGTAGATGGAAGGGATTTATGTATGCAGAGGGACATAAAAGAGAGAATATTCAGGAATCCTAAGTATTAGGGCTGTATTATCTCATACATGGCATTGGTTATTCGTCAAATTAATCTTTTTTTCTGGAAGTCCACAATTTTATTGTAAAATTTTCCAACTGAGAGTCAACTTGAAATAGAGACAATTGTATGTCTTCAGAGAAAAAGTCTTACAAGATTTATGATTGCCAGATAAAATGATTGCCTGCAATCTTTCTCACTTTTGTCAGAATTACATAGGTTTAAAATGGCTGGCAAAGCTTTAGTCATTTTATACTCAGAAGAACTGAAACAGACTCACCACGTCCATTAGCTATGCTAATAAGGAGCATCCTAAGTTCTGTATGTTTGAAGCAACTTCCTGGGTTTTTTTTAATTGCTTTCACTTTCATAAGAGCCACTGTGCATTCCTGATTCACTGAACAATGTGTTTCAGAGCTTCTGTCCTGCATCCTAGAAAACACGTTGCAATTGAATTTTTAGACTGACTGTAAATGCGTTTATGTGATGTTACAAAATGCTTACTGATGATGTTCAGCAGTTTTTTCTTTTCTTACTTCAAAATAGATGAACTGCATTTCATGTAAAAAAATTTAATATTGGCTGATGCACAAGAACCTATTCTAGTGTAGTTTTCCATCATATTTCATAGAGGAGGCAATTTTTTAAACATCATCTGAATCTATGTAATAAAGAATTTTGTGCTGCTTTCTTTCAGGCTGTCAGAGCAAAGGTCACTTCAATTTTCAAGAGTGTGTGTTCTATATTTTTCTGTGTTATATCTTTTGTCCGCTCTTTTTTTTCATTAAGAAATTATGTTTCTCATGTGGAACTAATTGTACATATTTTTGTTCATCAGTGCTTTGAAAAAGACTAAGAGCTTGATTTTTGACATTTTGGATTTTATTCTGAGTGAAATCTTATGCTTTTCTCCCCTTTTTAAACTTCTTTGAAAACAGCATAATCAACAATGATATAAAAATGCACTGTGCAATGTCATATTTTAGGCAGTTATACTGGATTGAACTGTAATTAATTGCTATTGCTGAATACACTGTGGTTCTTATTCTCTTTTCATACCCAAGCTTTTCTTTGTGTGTAATAATTCCATCCAGGAATAAATCTAATTACTAAGATAATTAACACCTTATCAGCAAATGGAGTTCAGACATTTGTAGAGTTTATGAATTTTTAAAATATGTAATTTCCTTTTAACTGAATGACAACTTGTGTTATGGAGAAAAAGAGCATATTTTATTGTATCTAGCTTGATTGGACCTTATAATTCATGTTGCTATAGAAACAACCAAGCCTTTGTAAAGGATGGTATTACTACTACCATTGGTAATAAATGCTTTGACTGTTGCCAATTGTGTCATTAAAATGGTTAAAATAACTTCATTATAATGGTTTTGTCAAATGTAATGAATGTTCTGTTCATATTCTGAGACATGGCAGCTGATGTTAGGTGGTACTGATTCATAAAGGAATGTACTTTTTCTTCCATGAGCTAACTATTGCTGCACAAGATATTTATGATATGAAAAAAATCATGTTGCAGAATAAGATGCTGCTGTTCACTCGGTCCTTAAAGCTAATGGATTCTGTTGATATCAAGGAGAACTTCATACCTTGACATTTGTCAGTCTTAAAAGAGCAGTGGTAATTGAGACTGTTTAGCCAACAGGTCTGGAGATTTCTGCTGTTCTGTACAATATTCAGCCTGTGTTTACCACTTATGGTTAGTGAACCAAGGCCTTGAAAATATTCAGGTTTTTACTGGTTTTGATTTGTCATTCAAATGCCATCTTTTAACTTCATCTCAAATGGTGGAGTCTGAATTCATCAACACAGAGAGAAATAGATAGAATTTGGTTTCTTTGGTGGGGATTTTTCGTAAGGAGAATGTGGAAGAAGTTTCTAATAATATGTCTTACAAATTCCCATGCTGCTACCTATATATGCAGACATGTATTAAAAGGAGGACATTTGCTTTAGTATAAACTTATTGCCAATACTTAAAAAAACCAAAAAATTATATAAGTTAAAAAACAAAACAAACTAGGATATATTTACTACCATGTACTATTTGTGTGAAGGCCATTGTGGTGAATATGAACTATGCTCTAATATTGCACCTAATCAAATTAATAAGAACAGTATTCTCTGCTTCCCTTTTCTTGGATCTTTTGCAAACAGATTCACCTTTTCCATTAGAGCTCATTGTTTCAGGAACTGTTTCTTTCAGTTATTCAAACTCAAGTTTCTTCACCCACTGTAATCACAGCATTATTTTTTTTTTCTGTGGTGGTGTACTGTATAATAGGAAATGATAGTTCTCTTTGGCTATCATTGGTATTTACAGTTCTGCATTCTCTTGTCCTAATGAGGGGAATAGAAGCTTCCAGCCATTTCTTTATGTTGGGGACAGTCTTGGAGATCCCTTCTTAAGATCAGGTGTGAGCTTTGGTTGTGACAGTTCTCCTTCTGCCATTCACCCCTAAAGGAATCTCTTTCAGCTGTTCCCTTGCCTACCTAAGAACTGTAGAATTATTTAGGTTGAAAGAGACCTTTGGAAGATATCTCATCTATTCCCCCACTTGAAACAGGGACAGTTTTAAGTCACGTACCACAAATATCTTTATAGAGTTCTTACTTTTCCTCATAAATCGTCATTACTGACAGTGTAGAATCAACTCTGCTTTATGGAAGTAGTCCCATCTATGTCAGTAGGGAGCACTGAGCACTATATGTGCTCAGCAGAAGATGTTACCATTATTCCCATTCTACACAAGCAGGCCGAATACAAAACAGTGCTGTGGCTTTACAGTCTCTCCCAAGGCAGTGGTCATCCAGCTGACTAGTGTCAGATTTGGAAAACTGAGTTGATATCTCCTGGGTCCCATAGGGTATTCTGGAAGTACTATGCAGTAATCTCTTGATTGTAGGACTCATTTTTTATGGCCATGTCACAGAAATACAGAAGGGTTGAAGCTGACAGGGACCTCTGGAGCTCATTTTGTCCAACCCCCCTGCTCCAGCAGGGCCACCTACTGCCGTTGCACAGGACCGTGATGAGATGGCTTTTGAATATCTGCAAGGAGGGAGAGACTCCATGACCTCCCAGAGCAACATGTGCTTAGTCACTCTCAGTCCAAAAGTGCTTCCTGATGAGGAGCATCACTTGAGCCCCGTGCCCTTGACAACCGCCCCTAAGAGCTCTGGAATCGCTTCTACAATACTGTCCAGGTTTCCACTTACAGGATCATTTGTGCTCACATGAAGTAACAGTGGACAGTAGCAGTCAAAGGGCCAGATAAGCCTCACAGCATCCTGGATCTTTGCCCCTGGCAGACAGCAAACCTCTCGAGGTGGTTGGTTGGGTTAACACATGAGTGAGTGCATGTGTCTGCCACAGTGAGGAGTCACCCATTATGGTGACTCAATGCTTCTTCCTGGTAGCCTTGCATGGTTTAGGGGTTAGGTGGGCCAGATACTTTGCTTGTCGTCGCATCTGCCTCCACTTCAACTTTAAGGGTGATGAGCATATTTTGCAGTTGCAATCCCTTAGGTTGGTCAAGATCCTTGACAGCTGCTCCAATGTCTGCTGGGGAAAACGCTCAGTGACCAGTTACCACCATGTCCAAGACTGTTACTGTGGCACAATTTCGGCTAAGGCCCCCTCACTTCACCCCCTTTGGTACATCCTTCTGTGCTACCTGCTGTGTGTGGTGGCTGCCTCTTGTTAGCTGCTCTCTCTTGAGCTGCTGTGTGCTGTGTGGGTTCTGCATATTCAGTCCAAGGGGAACGGTTAGGAAATGTTGACCTTGCTTAAATAACATTTGTGCATTTGTGAACTTAAGTTTTTTGTTTTTCTTTTGAAGAAAGGCATAGGCTGATTTTATAGAGTACTGAGTTAGAAATTAACTTGGGACTAAGAGATGTCTTTTTTGCTCATAAGCCAATTTTGTTTGAATTTGCTGGGTTATGTGACATGCCAGTCCCCTCTTTTGGATACCCTGTTCTACTCTGATAGCAGCATTGTAAAACATTAAATGGTTGACATTTTCTAGCACCTAAGTCTCAAACAGTTTAAATGTTATGTATTAAACAATTAGAATTCAAGAAATAACGAGCTCTGCTGATCACCTCTAATTTCAAATGAAGGAAGTGTTGATCCAGATGTTTTCACTCTTCTGTCACAATCCTAATCCAATATTTGCTGCAATATCTTTCTTCTATTCCATTCACTCTCAACTGAGTACCAAAAGCATCCTTCATTACCAAGCAATGGTGTTAAAATCTCTTTTTTTTTTTTTCCAAAAATCATTTTAGGTCTTAATTTCTGTAGCTAAAGTTGAAGAGTTGTAAGTCTGTGTAAATGAGCTTTTAAGGGAGGAAGACTTTTACATTCCTTGGTTAAGTTTTCCTTTGTACTTTCTTTGCAGAGTGCCTGGAATAACAATTGCTACAGACATCATTTGTGGGTTTCCAGGAGAGACAGATGAAGATTTTCGAGAAACAATGAAACTTGTAGAACAGTACAGGTTTCCAAGCTTGTTTATTAATCAGTTTTACCCACGCCCAGGAACACCAGCTGCAAAAATGCCTCAAGTTCCAGCTGCAGTGGTAAGATCCATTTTCTTATGCTGCTGTACACAATGTACTCAAATGCCTTTAATACATAAAGCATGTACATGAAAATGGAGATTTTTCTACATAACTGTGCCACAATTCAGTTTAAGGTTTATTTCAGTCCAGTAAGTGACTAATTGTTGAACTGCCTTTAGATGTTAGCTAGATCACTGAATGCATTTTCATATATATGTGACTTGTTCAGATTGTTAGGAAGGGTAAAATCGTGGTTGTACTGAAGGTCTTGTCTGCTTTCTATCAAGTTTGGGGTGAATGCGTACCAAGAGCAATAGCTGATTGATTACAAGTATTATTTTTTTTTTCCATTTTAAGACTTCTGTGACTCCATCAATCTCAAGCTTATTGTGAATAATTATGCAAAATATTATTAATAGAGCAATGTTAGTCTCTGATTTATCTGTCAAATATCAAATTTGCAGGCCGCTTCTTGAGACTCTCCTTATACTCTGCTCATAAACTTTACTTCCTTCAGCCTGCATGTTAGAGGCCATTAAGAAAATTGCATTTAATCCTTCATGTTTTAGATGTTCCCGTTCTCCCTATCTCTGTTTCCCTCTTTACCCCCTCCTCTCTCTTCCCCTTCTTTCTCTCTCTCTTCCCCTTCTTTCTCTCTCTCTCTCTCTCTCTCTTTTTCTGTCCTTCCTTCCTGCCTGCCTGCCTGCCTTCCTTCCTCCCTCCTTCTCCCCCTCCTTCCCTCTCCTTCCCTTCCTTCCTCTCCTTCCCTTCCTTTCAACACTTCCTGACTGCCAACATTCTCATTTTAAATTCCCATGAGGAAAACAACCTGTTCTGATATAGAGGGTAGATGGCTATTGACTGTATTTTCCTTGATATAAATAGCTATTTATAAGCAATAATAATAGCAATCATATCTAGAGGCATGATTTGATTTATTTAAAAAAAAATTGAATTTGTTATTTTTGTAATCTGAATCTCAAAACAGGAAAGCATACAAGACTGATGCCTGTAGTAATTCTGCTCATTATTATCAGCATAAATAACATTCATATTTCCTTTCAGTGTAAGAATGAAAGTCAGCCAGCAATGTAAATCAATTTAAATAAAAACCTGTTTCTTTCAATGTATGTATCCTGGTACACCAACATGAAGTCAAAACAGTATAGCAGAACTTGTATCCCTTTGTTTATATGTCTGAAAGCTAAACAAGGTATTTCTGATTACTCTCAGTATATACCATGAATTCCATAGGATGTGTCAGCTGGTGGAGACATAAAATGAAATTATATTCGGCTTTTTCAGTTTATTGTTTAGAGAAGTACAGCTTAAGCAATGACTGTTCAATTACTATAGACCATGTCATAACAGGAAATAGTGTTTTCAAATATAAGTAGCTGCTGTTGAGATAGTCTACTTAGTGTAACCAACTCACACTGTTGCATTATTTTTGTTAGTTTTGAATGCTTTTTATAGACCTTAGTAAATGAAAAAAAATTGGAAATTTAGTTTTTGGAAGGTAGGAAGCTTAAAAATCAAAACATCAGTTTATATTTTTGTTTTGCATTCCTTCATTCACAATTTCTGAAACGTGTTATTTTCACAAGAGGTACAAAGAGCTTAAGTTAATTTACCCTCTTCTGTTTAACTGAGTGCTATGGGGAGACAGTATGTGAAGAGCTAAATTATTAGAAGAACATTAGCTTTCTGTGGTTAGAAGTTTTACTTGGAAAATGGTAATTGTCAATTTAACCCAGTTTTACATTCTTTCTTCTTCTTTGTAGCACTAGTACTTATTGCTTTCAGTGAATTAGAACCTTCAAAGAAGATGGGGCCTCTAATCCAGGGCTGATGAAAATCTGTAATTAATAGATTTTGTTTCTCTTTTTTCTTTTTTTTCCCCCCCTGTAGTCCTTCAAAAATCCTGTGTTATGAGATCCTTTGTTCTTTTATCTCTTAGGAGAAATGGAGAGTAACTAGTCAAACAGAGCAGGAAGAGCTTGTGCTAATCTCTTATGTTTTATATTCACATTACTTCTAGACAGCAGCTGATGGTCTTTCCTGCTTTGCCAAGAATGGACAGGCATTTACTTTGTCATTCCTTGCCTAGGGTAACTTACGTATGTTTCTCTGCTAGGAAAAGGAAGTAGCACATGATCATCCACATTATGCACTCTTACCCTTTCATCCTCCAGTAAAATATTATCCATGTTAATAAATTTATTTTATTGCATTTGCCTATGGAAAGAAATAGCACATGAACTGACATACAACTGGCCCACGCAAGTGTCTGAGTGTGCATGTGGTATGTTGTATCACCAGTCTGAACTTGTGAGCTAGTGCTTTTATAGGATGTTCATAACATTATCCTCTGCAATGGATCTGTTGGTAGGATTTCTTTATAGGAAAAGAATTTTGACTGTATTGTTTAACTACTGATGCTGGACCAGCGAGCAAGTTATTTGACAATTGTTATTCTTGTAGGATTTTTTTTCTCAAGACTGCATGTATGTGCTATGTTATTTCAGTTTTGCAATACTTCTGCAGCGGACAGATCTGTTGTTATTTGCAAACTGCTCCACTTTAGTGAGTTCCGCTTCTCCAACTCAGGTTCACAACAACTTCAGGGATTCTACTCGAGTATCACAGCCACAATAATAAGATATTTGCCATGTCAGTTCCTTTTAGGTTAGTTTTTTTCAGAAGACCTTATGACTTCTAGGGACAATCGGTAGAATATTAAGCACAGTAATATTTAGTATTTTCAAATTTTTAGTGCATAGTTTGGATGGAGATCTTAAATGTAATTGCCTTTTTGGAGAAGATCCCCATTTGAGTTTATCTTAATAGAAAAAGAATCAGTAGCTCAACATGGAATCATCCCTTCACATAGATAATTTATCTTTGAAAGCCTTACAGGCACCAGTATTTTTCTAAAAGGGCAGATGACACTAATCTAGATGGACGGTTCTGCCACCATAATTTCAGAAAAAACAGTTAAGGCTGCAGGCCTTTCTTAATTCTCCTAGAGAAAGAATGTCCATGGAGAATCAGACATCTGTCTAAATGGTCTCATCATTTCATAACCATCAATTAGATTACGCTTACCATAAATATTTTCTCCAGTTCAGAGAAAAGTTAGAACAAACCTAGGCATGATTTATTTTTTTGATAAGCAATTACGGTGATGCTGAGTCATGTATGTGGAAAACAAGACAAGATGTTGTTCAGAACTTAAATACTATCCCATTTTTTTCATTGCCTTTGCCCCCATCTTATCTACCTACTGCTAAATAAACTGTTTCAGAGATGAGTCTGGATGCTCATTATGTCCAGTGGGCTGTCAGTAGAAAATTCTCCTTCTGAAGTGTGTTAATGAGGAAATGCTGTTTTGTGTATTGTTATTGCTGCTATTATTATTATTATTATTATATATCTGAATTTATCCGTTTATTTACTGTGTTTAATTATAAAAATGATAGTGCTGATAATTGTATAACTCAAATTACAGATTCTAGTCAAACTAATAATATAATAAGCAATCTAAGAGAACATGATTTAGATGTGTTTGGTAGGGAATTCATACTTAGCTGCATTACAAAGGATCAAAATACTTTAATTCTAAGTGTGAAAATTACTCTTTTTTTCTAAAATTAAGGATGTGTAACACCTTATGTTCTTGATAATTTTAACTTCTCTGTTCTTTATTTTTTCAAGGCAGCTATTGCTCATGTGGGGACTTGCAAGGAAAGTTTTGTCTCTATCCTGTGTGATCTGATCCATTACAATTTCTGAAACATTAGGGGAGATTGTCATCTCAGGATCAACTTCTGTCACTTGGAAATTACATGAGGAAATAGCCATTTTGAAAATAAGAATCATAGTAAAGTACAATTAGGTTAATCTCTACTGAGAATAATAGATGGCAGCTGTTTTGAGAGCAGTAATGTGACTGCAGCTTCATGATTACACTGCCATTAACTGCAGTGTGGATTCTAATCTTTATCTATTTTCAATAGTGTAAGCAATTCAGTTTCAATTATTGGTGTAATTATTAGATTTTAAAAAAAGGCATTGTGATATCTGGATAAGACTACATGTTCACTTTCTCTTTCCTTCCGTCTTTTCGTATATCATCTACCTAGAAAATTTAGACACTCAACTATTGAATGTTACTTTAATTCCTCTGAAGTGTCTCATTAAATTTTTCTCTCTTTATTAGATGTATTAAGCACTATACTTACTATACTGAGGTGAATAACCAAGTTACAAACTTCATAACAGTTCTGGTTTTGACTGGGATAGAGTTAAATTTCTTTCCAGTAGCTGGGATGGTGCTGTGTTTTGGATTTAATATGAGAATCATGTTGATAACACACTGATATTTTTAGTTGTTAAACAGTGTTTATACAAAGTCAAGGAGTTTTCAGCTTTTCATGCCCTGCCAGCAAGAAGGCTGGAGGGGTACAAGAAGCTAGGAGGGGACACAGCTGGTACAGCTGACCCAAACTGGCCAAAGGGATATTCCATACCATGTGGCATCATGTTTGGTATAAAAAGCTGGCCAGGGGCAGCTGCTTGGAAACTGGCTGGGCAGTGGTCAGAGGGTGGTGAGCAATTGCATTGTGCATCCCTTGTTTTTGTATATTCTATTTCTTTTATCATTATTATTATTATTATTATTTTCTTCCTTTTCTGTCCCATTAAACTGTCTTTTTCTCAACCCAAGAGTTTTTTCACTGTTTCTCTCCTGATTCTCTCCACCATCCTGCTGAGGGCAGGTGGGGAGCATTGAGTGAGCAGCTTTGTGTGGTACTTAGTTTCCAGCTGGGGTTAAAACACAGGAGTGCTTTTTGGCACCCAATGCGAGGCCTCTTCAACACGAATCACCTCGTTCTCTGGCAATTCTGAAATCTTTGCCATCTTTGCCAGTCCATGATCACTTCCAAGACTTCTGGATGACTGGCATTTCTGTTCAATCCCTTTGTGTGATCAGTGCCACACAATTAGTCCATGTA